TAAATGGCCCAGGCTGTGTGGCCCCTTCACAGAGATGGCTGAAGTCCGGGCTCAGTGGGTCTCTGGAACAGCTGAATCAATTGATTTCTCTCTCTCACTCTCTCTGCCAGCTAAATCAATCTCTCTCTCTCTCCTTCTCTCTCTTTCGCGACAGTTTCAGGCCCTCTCACTCACCATAAGGTTTCTCCATGTGGTCTTTCCAGCAGGATTGCCAGACTTCTTACATGGTGGCTTAGATCTTCCAAAAACGCAAAAGAGGAAGCTACCAGGCTTCTTAAGGCTTAAGACCAGAATTGGCATACCATCACTTCTACCACGTTCTATTCATTAAAATGAAACAAGGTCAGCCCAGATTCAACGTTTGAAGGGACTACAAAAGGCACGAATACCTGCAAGCCAGTTTACTGACCACCATTTCTGGAGACCAGCTGCCGTGATGCACAATAAATATTTATTATATAAGCTCACTTATTAATAACCTTCTACTGTAGCAGACCATATTCTTATTGTGGTAGAGATAGGCACACAATGGTTTAAAATCATCACCCTTATTTTCATTATCAAACAGCATTTATATAGTCATGATTTTCACACACTATTCCAAAAAAGGAAAATGAACCAAAAATAAACCTCTTGGCAGGATTAACACAGAAAGATTTTATTTCAAAGATTCTGATTCCATATCATTGTTGCAGTTTTATAAAGGAAAGTTAAATGTGAAGATGTAGATTTGACAACAGTAATTAAATGAGTATGGACTTAGCCAGAATCCCACATAAAAAGTTGAAAAATCAGATATTTGGAAATCAGGACACAGGTTCTAGTCTCAGTTTTGAAGGTTAACACTGACTAAGTGTTTGATTTTGGAAAAGTCTCTGAACTTCAGTTCTCTCAACTATAAAATGAGAATATGGGAACCAACAGTTTTCAAACGTTTTCTAGCTTGTATACTTTATTCAAAAGTAGTTTTACTCATAGGAGGCAGGGAAATAAGATGTGGGGGAGTAGGGATGTGTCTGACCCTTCCCCAATCAGAGTACTTTTGTTTTAAATACTGAGTTTTCTTCGGAGGACTGCATATAAACAAATGGTTCTGTAAATAAAATGTATTTGAAAATGAGAGATCTGGCCCCAAACCCCCATTTTATAGATGAGGAATTTTATAGATTTCGCCCCTTTCTGCACCCTTCCCTCTGCCTTCTTAGTGCCTGTCATCAGCTCTCGTTCCTTCGTACAACACCTCACCCCTCCAGTGGCTCCCTACTCTCAGCTGCCCTACAACCATAGTATTCTGTGCTTAAATGAGGCCCAACTCTGTGGGGAATGAGGAATTCAAGATGAAGAACTCCATGAGATTGTGATTTCAAACTCACAAGCTGGTAACAATGATCACTGAGTGAAAAATACAGAAAAGAAAATTTGATTCTAAATTCTAATGTGATGATGAGGGAGAATAAGCCAATAAAATATTCTCAAAATCATGCTGTATTATACACAACCTCTTGTAGGACACAAGGGTTCAATTCAAAAAGTTACTCTTCTTAAGAAACAAATGGTATGTTGTTTCCCACAAGAACCCCTGACTAGAGGTTTACATCTGAGAAGTACTTCACTTACTAGTGTAAAAAATTTTAAGAACACAGGAACTAACAATGTTCCACTGCTTTCTGATGAGTTCTCTCTTTTCCTTCCAAGACACAAATAATTGCCAAGTGATCTCATGTTTTCACTCTAATTAAATGAAATAACACTTTATTCTTCCAGATCCCTATCAAGATATATATTAAAATTGCCTATGCTAAAAGTAATAAATGTAGATCTTATATAATCATCCAACTGTCTACAATACATTTCAGATATCTTTTTGTTAGTATGCAAACAGCATAACATTTCCTGGTCACTGAAGTCTCCTGGTTCCTATTAATGGTGCTATAAAACAAGGACATTTACTTTTTATTTTAGATTTCATAATAATAAGAATGTGTTCTCTTATTAACATGAATCTTTTTTCTACTGAATCTTTAATTCAAGATTAGGAGACATTGGCAGACTTCAATACCTTGACAACATTAGGTCACTGTAAAGTTAATTATTCTTTCCTTTGCTCTGTCAAGGTACACCAAATTTAGCTTGAAGAGCACTCAGAGGGTAATTCCCCTAGAGGGTCCTGTTATTCACAAGAAGGTATGTTGCACAGATATGGTGCCTGTATCAGTTAGGGTTTGACCAGGAAAGCAGGACCGCTATGAGTGATGTGAATAAGGGAATTACTACAGAGATTAGACTTTACATAATTTGGGGAGAAGCTAAGGAAATAAATAATGTCTCAGAAAGGGACAGCTAAAGGATCAAATTTCCTAAGACCACAAAGGGGAGCTGGTGAAGATTACGGAAGGTTACTGTCTCTGCATCTGGTGATGAACCTGTAGGTCAGCAGGGCAGGGAGTCAGGAAGAAGAGCCGAGAACAAACTACAGAGAGCAAGGACAAACCTGTGAGGACAAACTGGTACCAGTGTTGTCTGTTTCTCACCATTTCACACCTTGATTATATGGATGACCTGACCTAAGCCTTCCCCCTCAAAGCAGCACATACCCTGAACCCCTGGTCTAGGACTCAGAAAAGCTGAAAAAGATCTGGTAGGAGTTGGAGGCGCTGAGTGCCCAGCTGCTGCCCCACCACCCAAAGGCTGCTGTAGTGACAAGTATGAGTTGCACCTGGGACCCTACATGGAGCTTACAAATGTAAAGGCTTCCGTTTAACTGCTGCTTTCCAAATCTCAGGCAGATTTCTCATGTGACCAGACCTAACCAGGAGCCATACAGAGAAGAGAGCTCTGGAAAACACAGTTCCAACTTAGCTAAATTGGCACAATATCAAATTACCACAGTGCCCAGAAGCTCCTTCATGGACTGTAAATTGATCCTAAGATGGATTTAAGCCTCTCAAAGTCGACATATATTCATTCAGTGATAAAGCCTATGAAAATACAGAATTTTAATTACTGTATTTATTTGCAAATTTTCCTCCAAATTTTTTTCCTATCTAATATTAGAAACATTTCTACCAGCAAAGAGGTACTTATTTTGCTCTTACCTAGACAAACATAAAATGTAAAACAACACTCAACACCTTATCACTAGCTCAACAATTTTTTAAATGTAAAAAAATCTACTTAATGCTTCTCCATTTCCACCAACTACGTTTTATCATTTCAGCTCTTCTCACACTATCTTCTTTCTACTATTCCTAAGTCAAAAAGTATTTAAACTCCAAACAGGAGGCCTTCTTGCTCCTGTGCAGTGTGGCTTTTTCTCAGTACCACCAAGTTTATCTATCAGGACTGTATAAATCTGAACTATAATTATAAATCTGAATTGAGTTCAAGCTCTTTCTCACAGAGCTCTATGTCTCATGCAAATTAGAACACAGGGTATGTCACCCAGTTCTACATCCCTGCAAATCCAACTCAGCTCTGACACTGGCAACATCCTTAATACATGCTTGGAGTCCCTACAGATGTCTCTGCCCTCATCAAAGAACTCCTCCAGGGAGAAAGTTACAAGGACAGCTTTGCCTAAGGCCCTCTGTTGGCCCACAGGGACACACTCTGCTATTCAACACCCGCCCTGGGCTCCAGGAGGAGTTCATTCTCTCCCACTTGCCAAAGCATTAAGAGTGATACCAGGCACTTAAATGATATAGAGGAACCTTCTGGAAATCACAGCTTTTTCAACCACATTCCCCTCACTTTGGAAACCTTCTGACAGGAATATCTTCTCAGTAGTGGCATTTGCTAGTAAGTTAACTAGCTAACATATTCCTAGGACATGTTGAAAAGTCACCAAGAATTGGAGTAGAAGATCTAAGTTTTGGTTCTGGCACCAGGTCTTTCTAAGTCTCACTGTAGAAGGTAAACTTCACCTTACAGAGGTGTTGTCGTGAAGTGGAAATGAGATAATGAATATCTTATCCTCACCCATAATGACCCTGACCAGTCCATTATCCACCTCTCCGGTAAGGAAACAGCTTGTCCTTGTATGGGGCCGTGTCGTTTGAGTGACAGAGTACTTGTAGGATTTCAAAGCCATTTCAGGGGCCATCTCAGAGCCACCGTTCCCTTCCACACGGGCCCTGTTGTGGACCTGCCCCACCATGCCTCATTCCCACTTACTGTGAAGTGGGAGGTCTTTTACATTTAGGGTGAGGGTTGTTTTTCTTTCTCCCTCTCTCTCAGGGTCCCTGCTATCCCTCCCTACAGTCCAGCCTTATATTACTCAGGATTAGAAGGGCATCATAAAAAGATTAATTCAGAAAAAGAATGTTATGTAATATAAATGCATATTAACATGGAACATGCTTTTCTCCTTCTCTCTAGGTTTTATTTTATGTCACCCATGGTCAACAATTGCCTTTTTTTCCCCAATGATATTCCTAAGATCACATATTTGCCTTCATCTTCCCTACTTTTTTTCCCTTAAAGTTACTTTAAGTATTGTTTATAATAAAAGGCAAACATATAACCAAACAGCTTAATGAAAATTAAACTTAATGTCTGCTATATTTACATTTAAATTGCAGAGAAATAAGTATGTGGAAGCTATCTCCATCATCAACAGCAGTTGCTAGGCCTATAAAATATTTGTGCATGTAGAGACTACTGAAGAGCAATGTTTCAGTTTCCTTCCCTCTCTTCCTCCATCCTGACCTTGTCCACATCCTTAGCAACCAGATAAAATCAAGTTCAGACTCTGAAGGACATTTGATCAGTAGATTACACACAATGAAAAATATCAACTTTTGGGCTTCCCTGGTGGCACAGTGGTTGAGAGTCCGCCTGCCAATGCAGGGGACGCAGGTTCGTGCCCCAGTCCGGGAAGATCCCACATGCCGCGGAGCGGCTGGGCCCGTGAGCCATGGCCGCTGAGCCTGCGCATCCGGAGCCTGTGCTCCGCAACAGGAGAGGCCACAACAGTGAGAGCCCCATGTACAGCAAAAAAAAAAAATAATCAACTTTTATTTTAAAATGTTAAACTTACTACAAGCTGATCAGGAAAGGTCAAATATGACTTCTTCAAACATGCAATATTTGAAATAGGAAAAATTTGGCTTATAACTAATAATTTTTAAGTTGTAAGAGCATCTCATGAAGATGTTGCCTGTTTCAAATACTCAATAAGATCTTCTCTCTCACTCTTCTTTTTAAGACCAGCAAAGACCATTTTAGTTCCAGGGATATATTTTTTTGGGTTCTCCAAATATTCCATCAGAGTCTCCTCTCCCCAGATAACACCTATAAAGGTGAAAATAAGTTTTAAGTTTGTGAAGTTACATTTGTAAGGTTTACTTTCTGATGTGACCCACATTTGTGAACAAAAGATTACTCTTGGACTCAGTAGGAAGGTTATTATAACTGAGAATACTTAGTTTCTGACCTACAAGCAAATTCCAAAATTAGTCTTCGGTGATCTACTCTTGGGCTTCTTTGTAGAAATCCAATGCTGTTTAAGATTATCTAAGGTACACCAATGACCAACCCAGACATGTTGGGCCTAAGCAGTATGCCATCCTCCTAGAATCACAGAGAATTCCTTCTATCTTAGAGATCAATTAACCAAAATCCTCATTTTGCAGATGAGTAAATGATGACCCAAAGAGAGGATAATAACTTACCCTAAGATGACAAGGCTATATAGAGTAAAGAACTGGTAACTAGTAACTTATATTTCCATGTTTTTTTGTTTCTCTTTTTCCCAATCACACCAAGCTGCCTCTGTCAGGATCTCTAACAAAAACCTATGCGTTCAGGAATCCAGTTTTACAATGAGAGAGAGAGGTTGCATCCAACGTTTTTCCTTTCTAAAGCCAGTTGAAAAGAACATGAACAAAGAGAAACAGAAATGCTAGTTCCACTTTCAATAAAATTTTTGAGTGAGTGCCTCTTCCACCAAACTTGATACACTTAGAAGACTACCAAGGACATAAAACCTGGACCAGAGTGAAAGGACACTTTTCACTAATTTCTAAAGAAGAGAAAAGTTCTCCAAAATAGGTGACAAATCCTGAGGTGCAGAGTCATAACCCTCTGTTGGGCCCAAAGAGAGTAGAGTACATATTGGCTGGCTGTGAAAGTCTCCCTAAATTCAATTCGATAACATGGAGGGCCAGGGGAGCCAGGAGTAAAGAAGAAAACACATCTTTAAAAGAAAGATTCTACCTTGTAATAGGATAAAAGAGAAACTTGAGGTGTTGGATAACCCTGGAGCTGCCCGTCTTTGTCAGCTGAAGAGCCAAATAACCCTGCAGCAAACATATACACATACACATAGCTCTAACACATAACTGTGGGTGAGGAAGATCTTATAACCAACTGGAACACTCAGATCCTCACTCTTACTGTCCTTCTGCAAATAACCAATCAAGGACAAATTGTCCTAATCAAAAGATGAGTAGTAATCAGAAAGGAATCACCATGAAAGAGTACCGAAAACACACACACAACATACACACACACAGCAGAAAGGAATATAAAAAAAGTTAAATGAAATATACACAACAAAAATTATATACACCAAGCAGAAAAAATCAGGAGCACATTCCCATGGATTCAGAAAAGGTTTTTGTTATTTGTAATGAGGTAGACGGACCTAGAGTCTGTCATACAAAGTGAAGTAAGTCAGAAACAGAAAAACAAATACCGTATGCTAAAGCACATATATGGAATCTAAAAAGAGGTACTGGGACTTCCCCGGTGGCACAGTGGTTAAGAATCTGCCTGCCAATGCAGGGGACACGGGCCCTGGCCCGGGAAGATCCCACCTGCGGCAGAGCAACTAAGCCCACGCACCACAACTACTGAGCCTGTGCTCTAGAGCTCGTGAGACACAACTACTCAGCCCACATGCCACAGCTATTGAAGCCTTTGTGCCTACAGCCCATGCTCCACAACAAGAGAAGCCACTGCAACGAGAAGCCAGTGCACTGCAACAAAGAGTAGCCCCCACTCAGTGCAACTACAGAAAGCCTACGCACAGCAACAAGGACCCAATGCAGCCAATGATAAATAAATTTATTTTTTAAAAGTAAATTTATTTTTAAAAAATAAATAAATTTTTAAAAATAAATTTACTTTTAAAAATAAATAAATATTTAAAAATAAATAAATAAATTTATTTTTGAAAATAAATTTATTTTTTTTAAATAAATAAATATGGGGACCTTCAAGATGACGGAGGAGTAAGATGTGGCGATCGCCTTCCTCCCCACAAACACATCAAAAATACACCTACAGGGCTTCCCTGGTGGCGCAGTGGTTGAGAGTCCGCCTGCCGATGCAGGGGACATGGGTTCACACCCCAGTCCGGGAAGATCCCACATGCTGTGGAGCGGCTAGGCCCGTGAGCCATGGCCGCTGAGCCTGCGCACCTGGAGCCTGTGATCCGCAACGCGAGAGGCCACAACGGTGAAAGGCCCGCGTACTACAAAAAAAAAAAAAATACACCTACATGTGGAACAGCACCTACAGAACACCTACTGAACGCTGGTAGAAGACCTCAGACTTCCCAAAAGGCAAGAAACTCCCCACATACCTGGGTAGGGCAAAAGAAAAAACAGAAAAAAAGAACAGGGACAGGACCTGCACCTCAGGGAGAGAGCTGTGAAGGAGGAAAAGTTTCCACACACTAGGAAGCCCCTTCACTGGTGGAGACGATGGGGGATGGTGGGGGAGAAACTTCGGAGCCATGGAGGAGAGCACAGCAACAGGGGTGCTGAGGGCAAAGCAGAGTGATTCCCGCACACAGAATCGGTACCGACCAGCCCGAGAGGCTTGTCTGCTCACCCGCCACGGCAGGCAGCGCTGGGAGCTGAGGTCGGGCTTCGGAGGTCAGACCCCGGGGAGAGGACTGGGGTTGGCTGCAAGAACACAGCCTGAAGGAGGATAGTGCACCACAGCTAGCTGGGAGGGAGTCCAGGAAAACCTCTGGACCTGCCTAAGAGGCAAGAGACCACTGTTTCGGGGTGCGCAAGAAGAGGGGATTCAGAGCTCCGCCTAAACAAGCTCCAGTGACTGGGCGAGCCGCGGCTATCAGCACAGACACCAGGGACAGGCATGAAATGCTAAGGCTGCTGCTGCAGCCACCAAGAAGCCTCTGTGCAAGCACAGGTCAGTATCCACACCTCCCCACCCATAAGCCTGTGCAGCCCGCCACTGCCAGGGTCCCATGACGCAGGGACCACTTCTCGAGGCGAACATACGGCGCGCCTCAGGCTGTAGCAACATCACGCCGGCCTCTGCAGCCTCAGGCTCGCCCGGCATTCCGTACCCCTCCCTCCCCCTGGCCTGAGGGAGCCAGAGCCCCTTAATCAGCTGCTACTTTAACCCCATAATGTCTGAGCAGGAACAGACACCTTCAGGCGACCTACATGCAGAGGTGGGGCCAAATGCAAAGCTGAACCCCAGGAGCTGTGCAAACAAGAAGACAAAGGGAAATTTCTCCCAGCAGCCTCAGGAGCAGCAGATTAAATCTCCACAATCACCTTGATGTACCCTGCATCTGTGGAATACCTGAATAGACAAGGAATCATCCCAAAACGGAGGCCATGGACTTTGGGAGCAACTACAGACTTGGGGGTTTGCTTTCTGCATCTAAATTGTTTCTAGTTTTATGTTTATCTTAGTTTAGTATTTAGAGCTTATTATCATTGACAGATTTGTTTATTGATTTGGTTGCTCTCTTCCTTTATTCTTTTTATAAATATATATATTTTTTTCCTTTTTCCCTTTTTGTGAGTGTGTAACTGTATTCTTCTTTGTGTGATTTTCTCTGTATAGGTTTGCTTTTACCATCTGTCCTAGGGTTCTGCCTGTCTAGTATTTTTTCTTAGTATAGTTTTTAGTGCTTGTTATGATTGGTAGATTTGTTTTCTGGTTTGGTCTCTCGCTTCTTTCTTTCTTTTATTACTTTTTTAAATTTTTAACAATATTTTTTATTTTAATAACTTTATTTTATTTCTTTTCTTCTTTTTTTCTATCTTTCTTTTTCTCCCTTTTCTTCTGAGCCGTGTGACTGACAAGGTCTTCGTGCTATGGCCAGGTGTCAGGCCTGAGCCTCTGAGGTGGGAGAGCTGAGTTCAGGACACTGCTCCACCAAAGACCTCCCAGCCCCATGTAATAGCAAACGGCCAAAGCTCACCCAGAGATCTCCATCCCAACGCTAAGACCCAGCTCCACTCAACAACAAGCAAGCTACAGTGCTGGACACACTATGCCAACCAACTAGCAAGACAGGAACACAACCCCACCCATTAGCAGAGAGGCTGCCTAAAATCATAATAAGGTCACAGACACCCCAAAACACACTACCGGACATGGTCCTGCCCACCAAAAAGACAAGATCCAGCCCCATCCACCAGAAAACAGGCACCAGTCCCCTGCACCAGGAAGCCTACACAACCCACTGAAACAACCTTACCCACTGGGGGCAGACACCAAAAACAAAAAGAACTACGAACGTGCAGCTTGAGAAAAGGAGACCCCAAAGACAGTAAGTTAAGCAAAATGAGAACACAGAGAAATACACAGCAGTTGAAGGAGCAAGGTAAAAACCCACCAGACCAAACAAATGAAGAGGAAATAGGAAGTTTACCTGAAAAAGAATTCAGAATAATGCTAGTAAAGATGATCCAAAATCATTGAAAAAATACAAGAAATGCTTAACAAGGACCTAGAAGAACAAAAGAGCAAACAAACAATGATGAACAACACAATAAATGGAATTAAAAATTCTCTAGAAGGAATCAACAGCAGAATAACTGAGGCAGAAGAACAGAAAAGTGACCTGGAAGATAAAATAGTGGAAACAACTACCACAGAGAAGAAAAAAGAAAAAAGAATGAAAAGAATTGAGACAGTCTCAGAGACCTCTAGGACAACAGTAAATGTAACAACATTCGAATTACAGGGGTCCCAGAAGAAGAAGAGAGAAAGAAAGGGACTGAGAAAATATTCGAAGAGATTATACTTGAAAACTTCCCAAATATGTGAAGGGAAATAATCAATCAAGACCAGGAAGCGCCGAGAGTCCCATACAGGATAAATCCAAGGAGAAACACGCCTAGACACATATTAATCAAACTATCAAAAATTAAATACAAAGAAAAAATAGTAAAAGCAGCAAGGGAAAAACAACAAATAACATACAAGGGAATCCCCATACGGTTAACAGCTGAACTTTCAGCAGAAACTCTGCAAGTCAGAAGGGAGTGGAAGGACATATAGAAAGTGATGAAAGG